TAAGTAGAATTTAGGAAACTCGTGATTTGGTGAATTTATTTTTTTACTTAGCTACTTTTGTTATTTTATTGTTTTATCGGCTCTCTTGGCTTTTCTAATTTTTCCAGAAAAAATTTTTTAATTTTCTAATTTGGCTTTTCTAATTTTTTCCAGAAAAAATTTTCTAATTTTCTAAAAAATTAGAAAATCTCCGCTTTAGGCATGGAGTTCATAGACAGCATAGATTGTGGTTTCATTTTTGGACTCAATCGAGTTTTTCATTTTTTTAAGGATTTTTATTCCACTTTCATGTAGGGCTGTATCACAGATGTTTGTTCTGCTTCTGCATTCTTATTTAAAAAAATTCTTAGCCTGTTTGGGCCACTATAATACAAATACCATAGCCTGGGTGACTTAAACAACATTTATTTCTCACAGTGTTAGAGGCTGGGAAGTCCAAATCAAGGCACTAGCAGATTGGGTGCCTGGCTAGAGCCTGCTTCCTGGTTCATAGACAGCTGTTTTCTAACTGTGTCCTCACATGGGGGAAAAGAGAGACCAGAATAAGCTCTCTTGTGACTCTTAAAAGGGTTAGGGTTAGGATGAGGGCTCTACCCTTATGACCTCATCTAATCCTATGCACCTCCTAAAAGCTCTGCTTCCTAATTTGGGTGTGTGTGGGGAGTTTTGACATAAATTTTGAGGGTGACACAAACATTTGGTCCTTAACGTAGTTTGAATTTTCTTCTTATGGCCTTTCTTGGTTGTCTACCTCAACACTGCCATCGAGACAAGTCCAGTTACTTTTTGTTTTTTGTTGTTGTTGTTGTTCAAGTAGTTAAAATATTTACTTTTATATCTCTTCAAATATAAGTTTTTGTTTTGATCTTCTGAGCTCTGTCCCAGACTATTAGCATACATTATTATTTCTATATTATACATAAAGGACACCAAAATGGGGTGACCTGTTGGTCTAAAATTTCAAAGTCCTACTAATCTTTTTCTACTGAATAGCTCTCATATTCTGAGCACTCACTATGGACCAGGCATTTCACATGTTATCTCATTTAATCTATAGATTATTTCTAGGACATGGGTATTATTGTTCCCATTTTCATGTGAGGAAATCAAGTCTTAAAATATCTAAAATTTTTATTTATTTATTTATTTACGATAGGCACACAGTGAGAGAGAGAGAGAGGCAGAGACACAGGCAGAGGGAGAAGCAGGCCCCATGCACCAGGAGCCCGACGTGGGATTCGATCCCGGGTCTCCAGGATCGCGCCCTGGGCCAAAGGCAGGCGCCAAACTGCTGCGCCACCCAGGGATCCCCAAGTCTTAAAATATCTAATAGATGCTCAGCTTCAAACAGTCGTGGGTTTGAACCATAGACTTTCTAGTTTCTGCTCTTTCCTGTTATTCACATTCTTTCATCCTGAGGGAAGAAATAAAAGCCAGGCTATCGTCTCTGTTTCTAGTGATGAATCAAAGGAAAGGGTTGGAAACGTGACTTCTCTTAAGTATTGTTTACTTTTGACTTTTGAACTATGTGTTTTGTTTTTTTCTGAAGACTAAAATCAGTAGTGAAAAGAAAGCTACCCCTAAAATTAAAAATAAATTGAAATTAATAACTTTAACTCTTGGGGATCCCTGGGTGGCTCAGCGGTTCAGCGCCTGCCTTTGGCTCAGGGCATGATCCTGGGGTCCCAGGATCGAGTCCCGCATTGAGCTCCCTGCATTAAGCCTGCTTCTCCCTCTGCCTGTGTCTCTGCCTCTCTCTCTCTCTCTCTCTCTCTCTCTCTCTCTCTCTGTCTATCATGAATAAATACATAAAATCTTTAAATAATCTTAACTCTTTATTAAATTGGTTACATAACCACACAGCGAAAAGAATTCTTTCTAGTGACTTTGCTATATGTTCTTCTGGTATACTTTCTTGGTAAGGTATATTCTAAGGAAAAAAGACCAGCGAGTAATTGCAAACTTCACTTAATAGTTTTATTTTTAGAAGTAATATTTGTATTATAATCTTGAAACATATAATTTTATATATTAGGAAAGAACAACTAAGAATGTTAAGATCCAAACTTCTCATTGTGAGGGAAAGCGGATACACATAAAAATCAAAGTAAAAATCCTGTATTAAATCTGATATATTAATATCAGCTCAAAGTTTGTATATTTTTACTTTCTCTGTTCACTGAAAGGACTGAAAAGCAACAATATCCCAGTAGCCATGTTAACTAAGCATCTATCCTTCATGCTTTTTTTTAGCTGCCAGTTTTGGCAAAGCCTCATCATTTGGGTGGGAGAGGACTGGCTGCCCCAGGCTAAGTCTGTTTTCAGGCAAGGAAATAAGCCAGAGCTTAGTTCAGCAGCTGGGGATTTTAAAGTTGTTTGCCAGGGATGAGGTCTTCTCCAGTCCTCTTCATCATCTTTTTGTAAAGGCTACATTGCTCACTAATGCTTTTATGTGAAAGTGGACTCTTTTGGGTAAACATGAAGGTGGAGCTGTATCCTATGTCTGGATTAATGCTGGATAGGAATTTGGAGTTGAGAACAGGAAATCCTGAGAATTGAAAATCCCCGGGAATTAGCAAAAACTCCTGAAAGAACTTCAGATTTTGAAAGGCTATATAATGGATAGGATCAAAGCTGAGATGACCAAGGGGGACAACCCAGCTAATATCTGGGTTGGAGGAGGCATAAGTGTATCTACGATATGAAGAAAGGATGGAATTGGAAAGATACTGAGGCCCAGAGGAAGATGGAAGGATTTAGAAGGCCCAGGGAGAGGTGAATAGATCTACTAGTCTGGATGCTGTAGGGAGGGATTGTGGGTTCACCTTCCTCTTTAAGGACCCCCTTCCACCTCAAAAACACCGTCACTTCCATAACTCCACGTGGGCGACCTGGAAGTCTAGTCTAGAGGGCATATTCTCAGTGTCAGCTCTTTGAGGCTTCTGTGCACTTCAGATAAACTCTGCTTTCAGATGCTTCTCAGTGAGCCTTGGGGCACTAGTTCCATTTTATATTTTCTGTGAGTGTGGGGTTCCTTGTTCTGTTTCTCTACTATTTAAAGAGGAATCAGAATTTACCAACATTTAGGGAAAACAGACATGTCAATTTAGCAAAAGAATCTTAAGGCCGGCCCCCGGCAGAGACGAACCTTGTCTTCTACTTGCCTAGATTAGTTACGTTGATACAAGAGCCACCTGAGAGGGAAACTCTCAGGAAAGAGTAGAATATTGATGAGGGTACAGGGTAGGGGTAGGACTGGGAACTGGGGTTTATACTGGAAGCTCACAGACCCCCCTATCTGGGTGTGGTAGAGGGCTCCATGATAGAACCCTGACAACAGTGAGTCACCGGCCACAGATTGGATTATTAAGAGAGTTCAGGAAAGTCCCTCGACTCTATTCATCAGTCAAGAACCCAACTCAGGTCTATCTCTGGGCCAAGGGTCCCTTTTGCATTAGGGCTGATAGGAAGAACAATGCTCCTAACCTTTGAAAGCCTTGAATCAGACGCGGGAGCCCAAGTTCGATCATCAGGGTCAAGTCTTATGTGAAGGAGTACACCTGAGCTTGCTGTTCAGGGACATTTGTGTCCTTTATCTGAAGAGGATAGAGACTGAACAATCAACTGAGCATGACTACAGAAAACTCTTCTTGAAATTTTTGCAGAAGGAAAAGTGGACAATATTTTATCCGCCTTAACGTGAAGTACGGGGATGGATCCCAGGGCTCTATTAATACAGAAAACCAGATCATCCATGAATAATGAATAATGAATAATGAATGTGTGCAGCTAACCTCAAGAGAAGAGAAGGAAAATTTGGCCCCAGCCACTCACTCTAGTCTCTTAAGATCAGTGCAGAGTCAAAAAGAGGAACAAAGGTGTAGCACTAAAAGGTAAGGTTTTGTCTCGTCAACCGTGGGATGCCCAAGGTTTAGCCTTAATCTCACCTAACCAGGATGACCCAGGTCCACAGTCTCTGAGGAGGGCAGTTCCTAGAGCAAGTCCCTGTTAGAAAACAGAGTGCTGAGAGGGGAGGTTCACAGCAAGGATTCCCTGTTCTGCTGGGGATCTGGCCCACGGGGGGCCGTGTGAGGTCCACTAGAACCACTGTTTGTTCTGGAGGCAGAACTCCCAGGTCCTGGTTGGGGACAAGCTATCTGACTTCCCCAAGCTTCATTTTCCTCCTCTGAGGTGTCACCTGGTCTCCGTACCTCACAGGGTTGTTGTGAGGATCGCACAAGATAATGTCTGGGAAAGGCCTTCCTATTCCTGTCACGGACTACTTTACCTTGTGCACTCATTTGGGGGCTCCCAGAGTCTTAGTCTGCCAAGAGTCTGCCACAAAGGATCATTCCACTCAGACTCCTAAAATATCACTTTGCTCTTCTCTTCACCGTAAGTAATCCAAGCTCTTGCTCAGATTGGAGAGGATGACTGGAAGAATCTGATGAAGCACAGGACAAGTTTTTCCAGGGAACAGGAGAGGACTCTCTCTTCCCTCTTTCCTGTGTCCCTCTTCCTAGGATGATTATGCAGTGGCAGGGCCCAGTGCAACCTGGGGTTGATGTTGGCTCGGAAGCCTCTAGGGAAGGGAATGGGAAAGCAAGCCTTGGTGTGAGGAATGAGGGAAACATTGTGAAGTCTGGGATGTGTGTGTGTGTGTGTGGGGGGGGGGACATAGCGTGTTTCCAGCTCTACCAGGCCCTCATCCCAGCTCACTGACTTTAGGTTACTTCTCTCGTCTTCTACAGCCATTTGGACAAGCTCCCCATTATAGGCAGTTTGTGCCAACCATTTTATCAAGATCCCCCACTGTGAGTTGTGCGATGTGGTGGCCATGGAAGCTGACATTCTGCTGTTTGGGGAGCCTGTGGAAGATGCTGCTGCTGCCTTAGAGCCACACAACTGCCACCATTCCTTTGAGGGAGTTAGCTCAATCTCTGCCTTCAACCTCTCACTGACCCTCAGAAGACCTATAACTGACTCCTCAGCCCCTTTACCTCTGGTTTCCACCTTCTCTGCAGTCTGGATTCTGCAGACACCCAAGTTCCAGACCCTCTGCAGACTCCATAACACTGCCTTCCATATTCTCTGTGGACTCTCCAGAAGCATGTTGATCTCTGCTGCTTCTTTGCCTAAGTACTCTTTGGGGCCCATCTTCCCTCAGTGACCTCTGACCATCTGTTTTCCTTTCACTGTGTCCCATTTTCTCAAAACACCTCCTTGTCACTCATTTTACCATCACTGCTGGCTTTCTTTTTGTGAAAACCTGGGTGGAAAAGCTAATTTTCAACAAAAGGCTTCTGAGCATTGTTTTGTTTAGAACCCCAAACTTCCCTTCCATGCATGATGTGACAGGGGTTTTAGAATTCTCTTTGTTTGACCTGTTATCCTATTTTTTCACCCCCAGCTCACTTCTTGGTGGAGTCTTATCTCCTAGGAAATAATTTGATTAATTCCATGCTATTGATAGCAAAGGAAGTTGGATGGCACCCAAAGAAAAGTAAGTACAAACCCAGCAGACAGTGTAATTGCGTGCTGTAGCCACATCATAAACAAAGTGCAGCCTGGCCTTGGACTCATACGGAGGAGTGACTAAGGTAAAATAAAAACAAACAAAAAACAGTATGAAAGATAAAGACCTTGGAGTTACTATGGTTAATAGGTAAGAAGGGTCAACAATTCAAACCTTAACTCTGCAGAGAGGGAAGAACAAAGGAGCAAAAATATATAGAGATGAAGGCACCGTGGTGGGTGGTTCTGATGGTCTTATCTGGTGAATCTTGAAGGAGGGTGACACTTGTGGCAGTCACCACTGTGGTCCCAATGGTCTTGCGTGGAAGGGGCAACTTCCTGCCCTTGTCTGTTTTGGAATGAATCCTCAGATGTCGCTGTTAGAGGTCTCAGGACAGCCTCCTAGGGACTTGGTGTGGTTTCTGTCTTCTGACTTGGGAGGCACGAGTTTACTGTTGTGTTAGTTGTTAACAGTACTTGGTAAGGGCCTTCTCAGAGGTTCAGGTGCAGTTTTTCTTTGCTGTCTCATCTTGTAACTTAAAGAAAAGAAAATTTGGGTCACCAGTCAAGCGAATGATAGGACAGAGATTTAATGGAATATTTTGGAGATTCCAAAGAGAACCCTGTTACCTAGGCCCAAAACACCTCGGGGCATTTTATGGAAAGGGAACCCTAATTTTATTCTTTTTGTGTACTGTCTGTGTTACAATTCGCAGTAAGGTATTTAGAAGCCTGTTGCTGTGAATACACCCATCAATGTGGAATATATCCTTGAAATTGTCTTTTTGTCATTTATAGAATTAAAGTTTATGAGTGTATCTTTATATGTGTATGTAGGCATACAGAATATGTATATATAATAAAGTTAATTTTAACCTTAAGATATGATTTATCTTAGCATATAAAAACAAATGTATATGTTATAGCGAATTACCATTTAATAAAATAAAAATTCCTTGAGGCACCTGGGTATTTCAGTCGGTTAGGCATCTGCCTTTGGGCTTGAGCCCCCAGGAGGGCTTCTGGCTCAGTGGGGAGCATGCTTCTCCCTCTCCCTCGGCCCTCCCCATGCTTGTGCCTGTTTTCTCTTCTCTCTCTCTCTCTCTCTCTCTCATAAATAAGTAAAATCTGAAAAAAATTCCTTAACAGATAAACCATATTCATTATCTTATATACACATTCATATTTTCTATAATTTTCATACTAAATATATAGTCTTAATCATTTTTATTTCCAACTACATTTAATCAAGATGACCAACTTTTGTTTTCTCCAGACACAAGGACAACTAAAAGGTAAGAAAGCAAGAATTGACCAGATTTTTATGAGTACGCATTTCAGATTATCTTTTACACTTTCAGGAGGAAGAATAAAAACACTGTCCAAAGGCACTTACATCTTCTGTTAATCTGCAGTCCTTATGTAATATATATGAACAAGGATAAATAAAACTGTTATATATATTTTATATATATTTAAAAGATTAGAAACTGCTCAGGTATCCAAATGTTATATATCAAGTAATACAACATTTTCTAAAGTCTTACCGTTTTGACTAAGTATTTAGAAATTACAATTTTAGCCAAAACATTAAATCCTTATGATTCATAGTACTGTAAGAATTTTACAAGATCACAACCCTTTAAAAGACATCTGTCCTATGATTTCACTTAAACACAATTTCGTATTTTATAATCTTAAAAAGTTTGCTTCAACAATGATTCTTTTCTTGTCCCATAAAACCAATATACAAAATTTAGAAAGTTTAAATCCTGAAGTTTTAGTCTTAGTTTCATATAAACTAGAATATTGCCTTAGCATTAATATATAATAAAACCGGAGCAGTAACTTTATATATAATAAAACCAAAGCACTATAAACACAGAGTTGTCTTTAATCAATATGATTAACTCATTCCAATTTGCCCAAAATTTATGAGAAAATTACACGATACTCCAAAAAATATACTTTATAAACTTTGTATTAACGAAACAAAATTCAAATAATCTTAAAGTCTTATTTAAAAGCTCTTAGACTGAAGCTAAGATCTGTCATTGCTACAGTAATGAAGGCTATTATTTAAATACATTTGTCTACATTTTATAATGCACAATAGTTTACTGTCATTTTTATTTTTCTTACATATTTTTGACTACTTAGTATGCAAAATAACGACAATGATTTTTTTTTTTTCTGAGCAATTGACCTTTTAGAATTTCCTAAGTGAGGGAAAAACCGAAGAGGATAGGATAACAGCAAAGTTGAATAGCTTTAGACAAATATGAAATTATCAGTGTAAAAGGTTATCTCTGTCTGTAAGGAGAAGGGAGAAACTTTAGATGCAGGAAAACCTTTTTCATATATACTAGACACCGAAGACAAAGGCATTACAGGTTTAAACAGTAAGTCAAGCCCTTGACAATTTTATCAAGCCATACAATTAAAAGCCAGTGTTTATTAATCCCTACAGAGTGGAAACAGAGGGGAACTCTACATTAATCACAGTGATCGCTCTCTTTTAGACCAGTTATACAATCTCCTCTTGAGAGTTTCTGTTCCCTTTTTACCTGAGGCATTTCTCAAATGAACATTCCTGTTCCTGTCAAAGTTCCCCAAGTGGCCACTATAGTTCTAGTTTATCCTCAGTGAAGTTATGCCAGGTGCTAGCACAAGCTTATTAGCAGACAAGCCCAAGAGAGATTTTTGGACTGTTGATCAGAGGTAAAATATCACTTGCGTTTTAAGTCCTCAGCCCTAAGGTTAGGCCGCTTCTGTGTGCTGGCCTGGGAAATCGGCAGCCACCTGGCTCACAGAATGCTTGGAGAGATCTTTCCCAAAGCCAATTTCTCACACCCAGAGAAGACTGGAGAAAGTTCTCTTGGGCAAGCAGAAGATGGCAGACAAATAGAAGGCAGTCGATGGTGTTAAAAGCCAAACTTCACCAGGGGATACTCAGGTCTGATCGAGAAACCAAAAATTCCAGCAGCAAATATTAAACTGGTTATATCTTTGGTTCTCCAATATCAGAATCGAAATTCAGTATAAGACCACGCAATTCCAGACAGGGAGACCACCAGTGTCTTGAGATTTAAGGAGTCTCAGATATGCACATTATTAGTGAGTCGCAGGAGCCAATGCTCACTAGGGAGAGTTCTGACCAAATATCAAGAGAACCTCCAAATGTCTTAATCAGGGCACCAGGAACAAACTTGTAGTCGACAAAGTCAGGTTTATTGGCTCATTGCAATGATGGAGGTCACACACCAGAGGAACCATGGGGTGTGTTACCAAGGAAGGGAAAGGGTATGATACAGTTTTGAAGAATGGGTGGTATTTAGGTGAGATTTATACAAAACAGTATTTTGATAAGTTAAAGCAAAGGAGGACTCTGTGTAAAAGGGGCAATGTGAGGTCTGGATGGTGAAATGGGACACAGGTCTCCTTTTCTTTGAAATTACAAATTAAGATAGACATGGAATGTTGTACACCCAAACCTCTACTCTGAATCTGTACCTGGGTTGGATATCTAGGTTGCTGCTCTGTGTCAAAGTGAATTAGAGCCTGTAGACAAGAGCAGGATGTTTTGTTCTTATTGAAATTATTTCAAAAGTCAAGTTTCTGACAAACTTTAACGATAGAAAGCAAGATTTCTCAGTAACAAAGTAATAGTCATGCTACTGAATGTCTGTAGGACAGTTTACAGCTGCAGTGTTTCCTGGGGAGAAAGAGAATTTTCTGCTAACTTTGCAGCTGGCTTTATCTGTGTCCTGTGTCTGTTTTCCCAGCTTGATGAATGGCATGGTAGATTTTCAGTTTCTCAGGCCAAACTAATTTTCACTTTCTCAACATGTAACTCAGTCTCTTGTTTTACCAGCTTGTAGAACTTGCCAGAAAGAAGTCGTGGTGGCATGGGACCTTTTCTGCAAGTGATTAATCTCTTCCCTTCTTTTCTGTTTCCCAGCTTCCTAGGATGGGGTGTGTGATTTTGGGGTCCCAGTGCAGCCTGGGGTTGTTCCTGAAGGAGGAGAAACTCATAGGGAACAGAATGAGAAAGCAAACCTTGGGCTGGTGAATTAAAGGTGTACAGGTTTCCCCCACCATCCAAAAGTAGTGTGTTCATATGAAAACTTCATAAGCCAAAAAAAAAAAGTCATAAAGCAAAGAAGCATTACCATTAATTTATATAGAAAATGATTTGGATGTTTCCAGACCACCCAAAAAACGCCTTAGGCTTTTCTTTTTTCTTTTTTTCTTTTCTTTTTATTTTTTTTCCTTAGGCTTTTCTGATACCGTAGGGCACATCTTGCTAACGGAGGCACAAAACAAATCAAGATCAAGCACACAGACTCAGCTCAGAGCTCTGGCGGCTTGATGCTGAGATGCTGAGTGCAGTTCTGGGGAAGCTTGGTGGGGCGCCTCTGGCTGCCACCACTGCTGCTTGGGGGGCACCCTGCAACACAAACGCTGAACGCTATATTCACTGTTCATTTTTTTTTTTTTTGTAAAAGCAAAAATTCTCTCTGGATTTCTTGCAGGGAGCAAAAACAGGTGATAGCGTAGGTCTGTCATACAAGCGAGGCTGTATAACACAAACTTTCAAAAGGCGGGCGGGGGGGGGGCGGCGCATCTGGAACTACCTGAGT